TGATTTATTATTCCGTAAAAATGAAAAGAAAAGAAGAAAAAGAAGAGAAAGAGAGGAAAGAAAAAGATATGTACAGGAAAAAGGATGGGAGAAAGAGGGGGTGAGAAAGGGAGAAAAGAGGAAAATTTTAATCATCTTTAAATATAAAATATACATTTCACATATATAATTAATATTAATAAAAAATATATTTACATATAATATAATTTATTCCATTTAAATAAAAAATATGGCATGTTTAATTTTATATTTATTTTTTATATAATATAAATTTTTACATTATAAAAAAATGAAAAAAAATTAAATTTACGCTATAAAACTTAACAAGATATTATTAGAAGCAACAAATTAATTATTAGTTGCATAATACAAAAGCATAAAAAAATTTTTCAATTATAAAGTTATATAAATAAAAAATATATCAATTTAATATTTATATTAAACCGTTAACAAAATAACAAATTTGTAAATTGTTTTTTTTTGCAGTCACAAAATGATTGACACATTTTCCTTAACTTTTTATGACAGCAAGTCGAAATGTGAAAATTTTCTTCTATCCAGTCTTAACAGCCTCTCAACTTTAATATATATTCTTTTAATTTGGATATTTAATACCTGTGCGCAAACTAACAATATGGTGAAACAGCTTAATATGTTATCTCTATAATATCTCTATAATTAAATATTCTTTTTTATGCTGACAAAAAAATTTATACAGGGTCAAATTGATACCCTATTTTTATTAAAAAAATGATAAAAAAGAAAATAGAAAAATAGAACCGATAAGATTTAAAAAGAAATATTAAGTTACATTTATACTTAATTATGATTTATATTAATTTATATTTTATTATAATTTTTGGAATCAAAATTTCATATTACAAAGAAAATGTTTTTCACAAGAAATTATTCTTTTATAAATCATCTAATTTGATTTCCAAATTGATTTCCACATATTAAGTTATTAAATGAATTAAGTTATAAATTAATTTTAATTGAAGATCTGTAAAAAATAAAAGTAATATTGTTTTAAATTTAAGTTTCATTTATAATGCTAGTATAATTTATCAAATTATTATTAAATATTTTTTTAAACAAGAAAATTGTCCATGTATAAAATTCATAAAATTGTATCATGTGCTAAAATTGTATCAAAAAGAAGATAATATTCAAATATGATAAAAAAGAATGGATTAAAAGTGAAAAGGAATAAAAAATTTTTTTAGAAATTGAAACAAAATACATAGATGTTTTATATATCAAATAAAAAAATTTATTAATATTAGGAAACATTAACTCTTTTGGACCTGATGTATAATGTATATACGTTTTCAAGAGTTATTTAAATTCAAATCTAACTATATACATAGCAGTTTAGGCATGTCATTCTTCTCAATATACAATATATTTTTCGATATATTTTGTTGTAAATATGCTACTATCTAATAAGTTTTATGTATATTTATCTGATTTTACATAAAGTCAATTTTTATGTAAAATTAAATAGATAAGAAAAGTCAGGTCTGAAGAGGAAATAAATAAATTCTATGGAAACTAAAATAGCTATTTCGTAATTAGAAGACATAAGAAATGTATAACAATGTATTAGTAGCGCAACTATTAATCAAAATAATCTAAAAAATTTGTAAAAATAAAATCAATAATTCAATATAAATTCAATATAAATTTAACATATATATCATTTCCATTTTAATCTAAGCTTTTACAAGTTTATAAGACATAAATATTAAAAATCTTATTTGATACTATCTTTTATATCAATAAACTATATTATTATTATTTTCAAATTTTTGAATTATTTTTCATTAAAGTTGTAATTTATTACATGAAATTTCAAAATTATAGTATTATATAACTGAAAAAAAGATTCTTCATACAAAAATAAGTCGAAAATATAGATTGGGTTTTTTTCATAGAAATTATTAATTAAAAGCTAAAATATTAATTAAAAAAGTACATTCTATTTAATAAAACAGTTCAAAACATATTATATTACTAAAGTCATTTATGAAATATTAAAATTTTTAGTTTTTCAAGAAAGTATTGTGATTTTTATACAGTTTTGGTAATTATGTTTTAGACAAATTTCATGATGTTTAAAAATTGTTAAAGATTAAACATGCTTGAAAGAAAATATAAAAATATATTACTAATTATCAAATTCTAATTTTTCAAAATCAATTTTCTCGAATCCTCATACGAAAAAATTTTGTTTCATACCTCTGATCTATTTTTACAAAAAATCATTTTTTTTAGTTATACTATTTTTGATACACTTATAATTTGATCAAATAGTTGCGCCAGTTGCTGAATAATATGTACAGTAGATAGCTAAATACTGTTTGCAGATATAACGAATAAAATTTGTATCAAACTTCTCTTGCTATAAATTCCACTATATCTTTTCCTCGGTGATGAATTGGTCAATCAGCCAAAGAGAAGAAAGAAATTCGATACAGATGTACTTCAACTTAACATCAAAATAAGACAGTATTTTTGCTTTCGATTGTACATTATAATACTTGATAACATCGTTATCGTTAATGTATGTAATGTGCTGCTGTATATCGTTAGTTTGCGTCACTTATGTCTATCATCAAACATCAACGTCACCAGCACCAACACCAGCACCGTGGTCAGACTAGCCCGCATAGGCCATAAGCATTGCGTCAACCAACATCATCACCGGCGGCATTACAGTCCTGGTGACCGCCGTTCAGCAGATTGCGGCCGCCGCCGCTGTAAATGGCGGTCCGGTAACTGTACCTATTAGTTGCGGCTGGTCGTTCTGGTACTGGCGGTGGTACCAAAGCTCCTTCCGCATTTCCTACAGCTCCAGTAGGTCCAAGTGGTGTACCCTCATCTACCTCGCCAATGCTACTCTCAACAAGCGATGATTCCATCTCACTGAATGCCAGTCGGGAACGAAGGAGATAGGCATATGTCTTATACCGCTTTAGCTGGAACGAGGGTTGCTCTGTAGAGTATGATGAAGTGAAAGGATAATTTTAAGTGGAACAGAATAGGAAATATATATCCTTTCCTTAATCAAAGAAAAAAAGAATATTAATAATTTTCCAAAAGAAAAAAAGAATATTAATAATTTTCCAATAACAACTTTAAGCCGGAAAAATTATTAAATAAATTATTAAATAATTTAATTGAATTTTTTGCGTTTTTTAGTTATCATACATTGATTAATTTTATACTTTATTTGTAATTACCAGGCAAGTCAATAAAAATTTGCATCTATATCTTCAAAATTGTAGGAATTAAAGAAAAATTTATCAAAGAAAAATTGAACTTTTCTAGATAGAATTATTTTAGAAAATAAGATTTTTACACTGAATAGTATATTTTTACAATTCTTTTTAATGACAGCTTAGAAAAATAAATATATGTGTATGCGTGCACTCGGGAGAGGGAAAGTGATGACAGAGATGAAAGAAGAAAAATGAAATTATGAGTAAATCAAAATGATAGAAAGTAGAAATTAAAAATTTTTTAATTGTAATCTTATATCGATAAAAACTATTCTTGTTATTTACAAATCGAGCAATTATTTTATGCATAACTTCCATGTTTTAATTATCTATATAAAATTATATGATAAAAATAATAACATAATAAATAAATAATAACAAAACATAAAAGAATGTCTTGGAATAAAATAGAAAAAAATTCAAATCTCGCAAATTTTCTAATTAAGAAAGCTTTTTCAAATATTTTTGAAATGCTTTTATAAAAAGTTCTTTTAAAAGATAATTTTCAAATAGCTATTCCAAATTATTAAGAAATTCTTAACTTGTATATTTGTAATTGTTTAAAAGTTACCTCATGATGCAAATATGCGTCCTTCTCTTTATAATTTTGTACAGTGAGAGCCTTGGCACCTCTTTCTGGAGGATGTCGTCTGTGCTCATCCAATTCCGTTTCTAACCTGTTGACTCTGTCTTCATGGTCCCGCAACTGTTCTCTCTATTAACAAATCAATAGTCCTCTTTTCTTATTTTCTTCAAATACAATATATAAACGAGAATAAGGATTTATTTCAATATAATTTCTTTATAATTTTAATATCTTAAAGTATATTAGTTTAATTTCAATTCCTTATATGTCATGAATGTTTCATTAGTGTGATTCGTTTATTACGATCATTTGGAATATTGTATCGTCTTAAATAATTAATTTAAAAATATTTTTGAGTTGAATTTTCAAAGCATATGTGCATAAATATTTATTGCTCTTTTATTAGACAATAATGAAGACAAATTGGAAGAATGAGATATTCATAGTGTATACTTACGGAATTTAATTTGGTATGACTACACGGCAGCAATGGACGCTGGAATTTGCGTTGAGATCCGACGGCGCCTGCAAGAGGCTGACATGAAAAACTGGCGCACACGAAATTAATAGTATCGATCCATGATTGCAGTTCCTTCGAATCGCTGTATGGACATATCAGTATATTATTCATCAGTATATATTACATAATCGCTTGCTAAATTCAATTAAAATTAAAAATTAAATTGAAATTAAAACTGAATCACAATCAAATTATATAATTAATTATAATTATACTCGTTAAAATTGTTAAAATTTTTAATTTTATTATTCATAAAATATAGTTACAGATATAATTTGATCAAATTAAAATTCAATTTAAGCCAAAAGTAACTATTTCCAATAAAAATTTTCTAACTTAACAGAAAGTACTAACCTCGTCTGAAAGAGATATTCAGCTTGGTCAGCAGTTTGCAGCCGGAAAACATGCTGTTTCTTTGTATAATCGGTTGCCTTGGTAGCCAATGCATGATGAATACGTATAGCATTATGCAAGCTGTCGTTACGGAAACCATGCTCATCCTTGTGCAAGTATAGCACAAGCTCGCGTAATGTGCAATAATACATCTTCCACCCACGTTTACCGAATGGAGCTGTAACATATGTATACATTTATGTAAGGATTGTATATAAAAGTGTGTATGTGTATATATATATATATATATATATATATATATATATATATATATATA